TGAGGGGCCGGGCTTTGTGCCCACCACCCCGTGCTGTACACTGTTCCCCATTATCCCACTTCCTTTTTCTCTAGACCACTCATCTAGCATACCATTAGTTTCTTGTTCATTTTTTCAATGTATTCTCTGTACCCAGGAGAGTTTAGCTGCTCCTGGGAAGAGACTTGGTTTGTCTTGTTCATGCTGTTTCCTCGTCACCAGACATTAGAGATACAAAGATGAGAGGCCATAACCCCTTCTTTCAAAAACCTCACCATCTCTTTGAAGAAGAGATGACCAGGTTGTTACTCCTCACTTACTGGCATGGTTAGGTTTCAAAGACCGGTTGTTCTGTGAAAATCGGTGTTATGCAAAAATGGAGGGTGACTACATCATTATATAACTGCCATACCCACTGAGAACAGTGGCCCAGTCAAATTCACACTTTAACCGTCACAGTCAATGTTACTCTCACCTTGTACTTGGGCATTCATTACTGCCATATATACATTGTTAATATGCAAAATAGTCAGATAGTAGATTTTTTACTATTGTCATAAATGTGATATGATGGATAACAAGATGCTCATAAGTGAAGAGTAGGTATATACATGTTAGTGAGAGTAAGGGCTAATCAATGTTAGTCAGAATGCTTTAAGGGAAAACTGTTACCGAATGCTGTTAGCTAGCCAGGAAAAGCTAGCTTTTCTGTCATCTCACATTTTTATATCCCCTGCTCAAGGGTTAGCTCCAGGAATAAAGTGGTAACTTCCAAGTGAATAAAAAACTGCCTTCAGCTATGGCTGAAAAGTCACTGCATATCCATACATTACTGGATTTTTAACTAATGGAGCATTGCTGATAAGGTAGAATGAGTTACTTTCGTAACTAAGATGTTTTAAACTCAGATAGATCTCCATTTCAGAAAGAAGCCAGCTGTACTAGAGGCATTTTACTTGTTTATGATTACATATGATGGTAGAATATGAACAGTGTTCATTAATTTAAATGAATGACACACCCTTGCCTCTTGCATCAGAGGGATAGTTTCCTGATGTGCAGGCAGAAAAGAAAGGTCTTGTAGCCTATCTTGGGTCTTTGAGGATCAGAGCATCAGAATTGGATTGTGGCTCATAAATTCCACCTCCTACCCTGTTCTGACCGGCTTCTCCCTCACTCAAAAAAGGTTCTCAAAACCCAATGATCTCATCCGTGGTTTTTTTTCTCAAGCAAATAATCTCTACTCCATAGTAAGTCAGTTAAAAATTAAACTTCACCTGTATACCAAGACCTATTAATTTGTAGCATTATACATGTAAATACCCATAGCCAGATGGACAAACACTACAGATATCACCGTATCATGTCATCAGTTTTGTTGTGATGAGCAGAGAACTTCCCAAAGTTATGAAAAGGGAAAGCCAAACGATCACTACCTGGGCCTCAGAGTTTCTATATTTTTTTTCAATGTAATCAAGAGAGATAAGTATAATATAATAAATTATTGGTATTGTTGCCAACTATTACAGTACACTGTGATTTTTCTATCTAAATTCTTGGGCTCTCCCATGAGGGCTTAGGGGGTTGGGATGGAGTTGTCAGACTCTGGGAATAAAACATGTCTTGGTCCTCAAGCACTGACCACTTCTGGTACCTCCTGTTCTTCTGCTGAGAAGGTATGTTCTTTTCTTGCATATTGCTATTTGGCCTACTCGTTTTTGTTGGGGGAACATAATTTCATTTTCTCTTTTATGATATTTCTGAAAGTGAAAATGATAATCCTAGCTACCTGCCACCCCAACAAGAAGCACTTAATTGCCATTAACTGAGAGAGTGCTTGTGAAGTCAGAAAGGACGTACCCACAGAGCATACACACCACTACCTCCTGGACCGTCCTAGCCTTTTCATCTTCTTACAGAGACTCGTAGCACGTACAGCTTAGTGTAGCACTGTCTCTCTGTGGGTGAGAGTGTGGGGTCTGGTATCAGACAGGTTTGAATCTTGATTCTGCTGTGCGTTAGTCCTGGGACTTTGGACACAATCTATTTGACTCATCTGTGTTTTTGTTTTCTTACATATAAAATGGGGATAATGATGGATCTAACTCATTGGTTCTTGTGAGGATTCAATGAGATATTTAAGCATCTGGTATAGTGCTTAGCATGTATTGAATACTCAGAGACGTTTACTAGTATCTTTACTCATGTGTGAACATGCTATTCTGGGTATTGCTACAGACACACATGAAGTCTTGATAAATGGGATGTATGCAGTATGTCAGGGCTGGTGGGTTTTGTGGAATTAGTTCTTGAAATATGTTTCTCAGACCACTAGAAGCAGATTTTCTCCTAACTTTGACATCAATAAATGCATATCAGGATTTTAAAAAAAGAAACAAGAGAATTAGAAGACATAGCCACTTTGAAAACTTCTAGTCCACCCTTTGCCCTGGTACTCTGTTCTCCTTACACTCCTCCATTTCTCCTTTGTAAGTTAGGGTCAGGGCTTTTTATGTTTGCTGCTATTTTCTGTCTGTCAGCTAGAGTGTAAGCTCTGTGAGGTACAGTCTTTGCCAGTGTGTTAATGACCACATATGAGGCATTCAATAAATAACCTGCTGATTGACTAAATGAAGGAAGGATTTGGAAGTGTTTGGTCCTTGACATTGTGTCTGTCTCACAGTGTTAAAGAGACCTGTCACCTCTGAGGAACTCCTAACTCCTGGGGCTCCATATGCAAGGAAGACGTTCACGGTAGGCTCTGATGATTTGGTTTTGTATTTTTTTTTCCTTTGTTGCTTGCTTGTCAGTACCATGTGACTGTGTCATTGTGTCACTTATGGACGGACTTGAAAATTCTTTCTTGGTTGTCTTTTGCTTAACACAAGTATAATAGTTGACTTTCTGGACCCTTGGGCACCAGAATCTCAATTGCACTCATTAAAGATTAAGACATCACATGATTTATTATTAATGCTGGATTTTAAATCCCTTTTACTTAAAAAATTACATTTTGCAGTTACTATGATGTAATGACTGATTTTATTGCAAATATTTTAATCCTTTCTCAATTACAGTCCTGAAAATAACTTAAGACATTACAGGAGGTTATGCAACAAACTCTCCTAAAATAAGGAATGGCGCTTTCGACTCTGCTGCGTGCTTTGTGTTACAAGCCCCTGATTTGTGTGCACTGTGGATCTGTAAGCAGTGGCTGACTACCTTGAGCCTTCTTAGAGGCCCTTCGGCTTCCTCTCTCTTATCAACCCCTTTGGTTTTCTCCAAGCAGGATCAAAGTACTCTGATTGGTATCACCTCAGCCACCCCCTTCCCCTTGGTTCTTCAGCTCAGTCTCCTCACACCTGCATCCATATCCTCTTTAAAACAATTCTCCTCTTTCCTTGAGTCTTCTGACTTTTGTTCCATTACCTCATGGAAATGTCTGCCCACACTCGCCCACACCGCAAACATTGGTCAAAAGGGCCACTTCCAGTTCCTCGTGGCTGAGGAGTCAGAGCAGGACTGGCCTACCTCTTGCCCTGGGATGCTCACATATTCAGTTTCTTGGATTTGGAAGTCAAAAATCATCCCCTGTGATCATAGTGGACCAGTAGGAGAAAGGCACTGGTAATATGTCTGTATCAGAGATGAAGGAAAACTGTACATGTGGAAGTGAAATGAGGTATAGAAAAATAATAACAACAAACCCTGAAGTCACTGACGTGTCTAAAATTGATCTTGAGAATTTCCACACAAATTTTCATTTGTTTCCTTGCTTTTCCTCAGCCACCAGCATTCAAGAGGGAGTTGATAGTATTTTAAAAGTATTTACTTTTGTTTTTTAATTTAAATGCCAGCATTGGTAGTAATTGATTGTGAATGCTTTTCATCTGCATTTCAGTTGGGATGTGGGTTAAAGCCATGTCTGGGAGCTGCCCAGAGAATATAGCTGCCAATTCTAATAATGATTCTATAGGAAACAATTCCAAACAACTTTTGGATGCAAATCTATTTGTAAAATATGCACTTCATGTACATTTTCAATTTATTCTCTTTGTAGAGAAAACCATGTTTCAACACAGCCAAGAGTCTTTATATTTCCCAGCATTAATACTTTTAAATTGTTACTTTAGACCTCATAGACGTATCAAGATCATCAAAAATGCACTATTTGAATCCAGGGGAATAAACACTCTTGGAGTAGAAATTGGATCTGGGAAGAAATTTCTACCACGTTTTTAAGATCTTCCAAGCCTTCCATTTGAGACTAAGACTAAATTGTATAGCAGCCTAAGAAAGAGGCAATCTGGCAGTTATTGACTCAATGCCCTTGCCGAAGAAGCATCTTTCTGTCAAAAAGTGTAGATTTCTTAAGCACATTTTCCATAGAGACCCGCAGACATACATCAGCCTATGTCTGTGATAGAAGCAAAGTACTGCATTCCCCTGCTTAGGCAGAGATGAAATGGGCAAAGATATGCAGTGGCACGTGCTGAATCCTTGGCTGGCTTTTCTCTCTAGATTGTTGGTGATGCGGTCGGCTGGGGCTTTGTGGTGCGAGGAAGTAAGCCATGCCACATCCAGGCCGTGGACCCCAGTGGCCCTGCAGCCGCAGCAGGAATGAAGGTACTAATTGGTCTTTTCCCATCATCTTTTCTATCTGTGTTTTTCAGGCCGAAACGGCTATGATTCTGGCTTGGGATCCAAACCCTATGATGTACTCTTTTTCTTCTTTCTTTTTTGGTTCTGCTAAATTCCTTACCCCTTTTCTGGATCTTCCTCTCCTCTAACCAAACCAAACTCCAAACTCACTGCTGTCAAATTGGATCCAACTCATAGCGACCCCTCCTTGGGTTTCCAAGGGGGTATCTCTATGGAAGTAAATTGCCCAGCCTTCCTTCTGAGGAGTGGCTGGTGGGTTTGAACTGCCAGCCTTCTAGTTAGCAGTCAAATGCTTTAGGCACTATGCCACTAGAGCTCTTCTCCTCTATAGACCAAAAAAGCAAAACAGATGCTGTCCATTGATCCTGATTCATGGTGACCCCATGAGAATCTACAAGTACATGTCCAGGCACTTCTTCCCAGGCACTTCTGGGTAGACTTGAACCTCCAACCTTCTGGTTAGCAGCTGTGTGTGTGAACCTATTAGAAGATAAACGTGGGCAGCAGAGAATGGTTCAAGGCACGACCACACACAGATGACTGGATAATCAGCCCTGGGAGGATTACGGGTTGACTGTACCACTGAGTGGACAGTGCTGTGCATACCTCCTTCACAGTGGTGAGTCTCAGGCTGACTGGGTTCTGTGCTCTGGAGAAGCTACAGAAGCCTTGTTGGCCAAGGAGGTCTGTGTCAGTTGCCTTTCTATCTCCTCAGTACTGCAGTGGGCTCAACACCAGACAAACTCAGAGCAGGAAAGTTGGCCAGGACCATAAAGGGCGAGCATTTGTATCCGTGCCGAAGCTGGATTTTTTATTTTCTAATGGAACTCTTGGCCATGGACAGGATTTTATATTTTATTTCCACAGTAAAGTACCTAGTATAAATTATTTTCTGGCAGTCTCTACATGAATCTTTGACTTAAAGCATGCTTTCTTTGTGGAAAGCAATGGATTTACATTGCAGCTGAAGACCTCATTTTGCTTAGTCAAGGGTACAGTGAATTTAATTGATTTTAGTCCACTTTCATTGATTGACATCTTTAACTCTGTATTTGGCACTGCCAATTGAATTATTAACTCTTTAAAATATATGTGGCCTGAAAAATGGGCCACCTGATCATTGTTCTCAATTTTATGAATACTTCATATAGTTCACAGTCTTACTTTCTCGGAAGATGTGCAGTGGTTTTCACATGTCATATAGAGCAGTCCAGAATTCACTAGAGTAGCAGCTCCAAAGCTATATTACACAACTCTCTGGTCAGCAGAATAAGTTGTCCTGTGGTTCTGAGGTTAAAGCAGTTTAGAACTGCTGTACACTTTATCCCCTTCTTGGAAATTCACAAATCACATTAGCATATTAAAAAGTTCTGCTAAATCCTGCAGAGAAACAAGCTGTTTAGACTGTGTAACACAGCATTTTGTTATTTAATATAAACATTCAGATGGAATCTTTATTAAGATATTGCCCTTATTTTAAATGTTCTAAGAGGATGATTTTGGTCAAACTATACATTGGAATAAATGTATTAACATACATACATATATATATGTTCATATGAAATAGATTTTTTTGAACTGTACTATTTGTTGGTTAAATGAAAATGACTGGATTGATGCTCTTCCATAATGATTAACTGTGTACATTCATTTGAAATTATTCAGTACGTTATTTTCTTATCAAAAATATTGAGAAAAATAACTTCCCATTCTACCACAGTTCACTTCCATAGAAGCCACTTGTACAATAGTCATCACAGCTTGTTCCCACCAACCTATCACATCTCTGGCTGCCCTTGACTAGGAACACTGCAGGACTGGTGTTTGGTTTGTGGTGCTCTCAGGAGCCACCTAGGAGGGTACCCTAGGGAAAGAGCCACTGGCATTACCTGCACACTGATTGGCCTGCATGGTCTGGGCAGGAGAAATTGCCCGAGATCTTAGCCAAAGCCCCTCCTTTTAGTGTCTCTAACTGGCTGTGTGAGACCCAACACAATATAAAGGGCCAGCCATGCCCTCACTGCCCCTCCCTGAGTTGAGAGTCAGGCTTCCCTGTCATGTCGTGGCCCCTGGTTTCTCCTCTGGACAGAGCCCTGCCTCTGGGTCTTTATGGCCACTTTACCCAGTGGGCTTTTCATCCTTACACTGTAGCTGCCCAATTTCACTGCTTTAGTTGCCAGTAATGGAGATTATCTTATAACTAAGTTTCTCATGTTTACTATTTCTCTTTAATTTCACCTTTTTATGGGGATCAAAAAGCTTTAAGATGTGGGCCCAGCAGTTTGTGAGGCAGCCGGCCTCCAAACTGGAGATTAGATGCCATTTGTCCCTGTTAACTCTTCAAAACCTTTCCAGACCCAAAGGAGTACTCTCTGCCTGGTTTAAATAGAACTCCTGATCCATGACTAGAGAAGACTCATCTTCTTTCATGCTTGCATTAAAATTTACTTCTCTGAAGAGCCTGGGAGAACTTCAGGGCTTATGTGTCCTTTGAGAGAGTGATAAGGACTACCCTAATTCTTTTCTGGACCCTCAAACCCTCTGCCATCCAGTCAATTCCAACTCATAGTGACTCTATAGGATAGGGAGGAACTGCCCTATAGGATTTCCAAGGCTATTAATCTTAATGGAAGCAGACTGACTCATCTTTTTCCTGCAGAGTGGCTGGTGGGTTTGAACTGCTGACCTGTTGATTAGTAGCCAAATGCTTTAACCATTGTGCCACCAGAACTTCTTCTTTTCTGCACTAGAGTAGATACATCTTTTGCCCAAGCTATGTAACCGCAGTGCCCCAGAGATGTGCATGCTCTTGACCTCTACTGGCTGGTTCAGGCTGGTGGTGGCTGCATCAGGCAATTAAAGTGCAGGCTGGGACTCTGTTGAGATGCAGATCAGAGAACAAACAACTGTAAAAGGACAAGGAGTTCCACCCTCCTTCAGCTGCTGCAATGGTACTGAGTTTTAGGTTTTTTGGTGAAATATTAGATTTATACTATTTCAGACTTGTTTCAAATTTTAGTTTTATCTCCAACCCATTTCTCCTCTTCCGTTTTAGTTACCTTCTCATCTGCACACAGTAGTAGCGTATTTCTAAAGACCAGAAAGTGAACAGATGTTGTCACCAGGCAACAGAGGCCCCAAATGCTTTTTCTTTTACCTTTGTCTCAATCAAGAAGTACATTTAAAAAAGAGCAATTATTTACACCTTTTTAAAAACTTGCTATATTTCATAGCACTTGTCTTCCACGCCCAGAGAACAGCGGTGCCTCCCTTGATCCAGCATCTAGGAATTTGAGACTACTTTTATGTTGAAGGTTCTTTTACTTAAAATTTAAAATCTGCAAACCTGACTTAGAGAACCTTTCTTTGGAAATACGGTTCTAGGGTGGAGCATGAAATATGAGAATCGTCAAAAGTTTAGTCAACCCTTGCACTGCATTTTTGAAGGTTGCTTCCTACATTTGTCCATTGCCAACTTTCCACTCATCTTTTAGGAATTTCGTACCAGTAGCTGCTGATACATTTCAATGCAATGGAAAAGGAAGAAAAAAGGAAAGGAGGTCTCATCCATGGAGAGTCTTCTGCCTGCCCAATCTTGCACCTGTTCTGTACATGAGCCCATTAAATGTCAGCATCTAAATGCTAATATCCTTTAGGAAGAAATGAATCCAAGAGGGAGAATTCTGTTTCTTACCTCTTGTCTGCTACTTTGAAAAGGAAACCAGTTCTTTCTCATGCCATTCCAATGGACTTTACTAAAACTCTGGGTTCATGTCATGACCTTTAATATCTGTTTTTCATCACAGGAAGTCTAAACCCATGCCTGGACCACGCTATCTGGCAT